ATATCAGAACTATCTTTTAGTCCACTCATTGTTTTGTCAATTGTTTTTATTCTGATGTTTAACTCATCCATTGATTTTAAATTAAATCATCATATTTTTCATCTGTGAAAGTTATTTTTAGTATTTTCAAATCTCCTTGATTAAGTTTCAGTAGTCTCTTTTTTCTGTATCATCTTTTTCTTTTATTTTTCATCTTAGCTGAATGGATAATTTTTAATCTTCGTGTGTGTGTGTGTGTGTGTGTGTGTGTTTTATTTTTCGAAAGGTTCTATGCCATGTCTTCAAATTCACTAAACTTATTTTCTGCAGTGTATGTAATCTGCTGTAAATACAATCTAGTATATGTTTTTTTTCAGATACTGTATTTTTACTGTTTAGAGCATGAGTCCTCAAACTTCGGCCTGCCGTCCACATGTGGCCTGCCGAGGACATTTATCCGGCCTGCCGGGTGTTTTTGCTGCCACTGCCTGTTCTGCTTAGCAGCCATTTCGCCTACATAGGAGAATATTCTTTTATCGAGACATACACAATGAAATATTCAAGGAGAAACTGCAAGATGTATGAAATGTATTTACAGATATTTAGGAATGTAAGTGTATTTTCCGTGTGTGTGTGTGTATGTGCGTGTTTCTGTGTGTGAAGAGAAAGAAAAAAGGGAATGAGGGAAGGAGAAAGATCATAAATGGGCCAAAATATTAAGAATAGGTGAGTCTGGATAAAGGTGTACTGATGTTTACCATCCATGCCATTTTTCTGCAAATTTAATGACTTTCAAAGAAATACATTTTAAAGATGGACACTTGACCTTATTGTCTTCAGTTTTACATAATGTTTCAGATTTTGGGGTTTGATTCTCTCAGTTGCCACACCACACCCAGCCCCGGCAGTGTGCACTGCAAGGTTAAAACCATGGTCTCAGGGTCTGTCCCAGGCAAGAACCTGGGATCCTCTTTCCACATTTGCAGCATGCTGACATTTCAACAACATTTTAGAAAATACTGAAAAAGAGGAAAAGCGCCCCAACCAATTTTTAACACATTATACAGAATGTAAAACAAAAAAGGATCAAAATTTTGAAGAACCATGTTTATAGCATATAACTGCCAATTCTTATTTGGTGCCACCATGTCACTTTTTTCCTGGGGTTTTGTGGTGAGAACTGGTTTGCTGGTGTTTTGTCTGCTTTCCTAAATCAGTTACCTGGATTTCTATCTTCCAAAAACGTGCTGACCCCTTCTGCTGTATCCACTCCTGATTGTGTCATCCTTACACACTTAGTCTCTTTAAATGCTTTATTTTTTTAACAGTTTTATTGAAATATGATTCATAGACCATAGAATTGACCCACCTAGAGTGTGTAATTTAGTGATTCTTAGTTGATCACAGAGTTATACATCTATCACCAAATCTATCCATCAATTTTATAATATTTTCATCAGTTTTAATTAAATAAAAAAAGCCTATACTCCTTTCGTCCCTGATTCCCCCAGCCCTGAGCAGTGACTAATCACTCTCTGTGTCTGTCGATTCCCTGTTCTGAACATTTCATAACAAGGATGCACCTATGGTCCTTTGCTTCTGGATTCTCTGGCTTAGTGTAATGTTTTCAGGTCCATCCCTGTGTGGCAGGTGTGAACAGATCATGGCTTCTCATGGCCAAATAGTGTTAAGCTGGACATGTGGGTGTTTCTAGCTTTTGGCTATTAAGAATAATGCTGCCATGAACCTGTGCATGGGAGTTTCTGTGTGGACACATGTTTTCCTTTTTCTTAGGTGTGTACCGAGGAGGGGGATTGCTGGGTCAGAGGTCAAGCCCATTGAATGATGTGAGGAGCAGCCAGACTGTTTCCCAAACAGCCATTTCCATTCCCGGCAGCAGTGAGTGAGGCTGCCAGCTTCTCCACACTCTCTCAAGCACTTAACTGACTTTCTGTTTCTACCCATCCTGGTGGGGGTGTCCTGGTGTCTCTTAGTGTTTTGTGTTTTTTTTCATTTCAAGAAAATATGAGAGCACAAACATTTTGTTTGTATTTTATATCTTTGCCTCTCCCTAGCAAGGGTTAGAGCTATGCCTTTCCTCCACAATGTTCACCCCATCCCTCAGATGTGGGTCTACCTCCCGACCCCCGAATCCCTGGTGAACAGCACCACCATTTAAGCACCATAGTGTTAATCAATCAGTACCAATTTGATGACTCATAGTGGTTTTGACTCGTGGTAATAGTTCCCTGATGATCAATGATTTTGAGCGGCTTTTCATAGGATCCTTTAGTTGTAATAGTTTGTAGGGAAGGAGAGGAGATAGACGAGTACATGTGATCTATTGTATTTAATTAAAATCACAGTAAGTCATATTAAATGTGTGACAGAGAAAATTGTATCCCTCTACATGTTTGAAAACATTTATATAGCAATCTTAAGTACTTATCAACATGAAAAGTTGTCTGCTTCTGTAGTCCTTTCCCATTATGGTCACCTTGTGAGACACAGGCGGCAACGTTGTGCTGAGTGTGTGTGTGCAGATCGCTGCTTGCAGGGAGCGGGGAGGGGGAGCAGGCGGCTCCTCAGGGCTGACACAAGGCAGAGCAGAGCCCACGCCAAAGCCATTAATCTCAGTGTGTTTCGGTCACCGAGGCTGTGTCCATGTGCTGTGGGTGAGTGTGGCAAGTACCAAGGAACGTGGGAGCTTGACACAGGGCACGTAGCAGGTCTATGAAGGGATAGTTGGAAGATGTTTGATGGACTTTTATACTTTCATCACTGTGTAAAAGATGGGTTCATCGTGCCTGGTAGTTGTGAAGGCTGAATGGTGGGGTGGGGGATATGTTGTTATCTCTGCTCTTGTGTATGTTTAAAGATGTTTGTAGTCAAATTCTTTAAAAATAAAAGGTGTGGAGTGCCTCCTGAGGAGGTGCGGGACAGTAAGGACAGCTGGTAGGGGTGGGCCTGACCCTCAGGTCTGTATTTGATCACTCTCCAGCACAGATATTTTAGTAAGTGCAACAATGAGAAACTGAGGGCCCCGCTGGGAGAGCAGAGGGAGGAGGTGAAGGTGGAGGTTGAGCTGTGCTGTCACACGTGTGAGCGGGGCTTCTGATGATCAGTGTCAGGAGTGGCAGTAGCTGAGCTGGAATGCAGGTAGAGGACACGAAGGTGGGAGGTGGAGGAAGTGAGAGGCCGGGTTACTGGCTGACCTATCGGTGTGGATGTCGGGTCCTCCACTGTTTCTCCACCTCTAGAATTCCTCCCCTTAGACACATCCCACCTTTTGTCCTTCCAATGGCCTCCCGAGACTCTTCGTTCCTTCAGCAACCCTGAGCTTCAGACACTGAGGGTCAATGGCATAGCTCGGAGATGTAGATGCAGAGTCAGGGGACTGTAGTGCACCTCTGGTGTTTGTGTTTTGACACCCAGCATTCACAAATTTTTCTTTCTGGAAACTATCTCAAGTGTCCTGCGGGAAACTCATCCCATTGTTGAGTGCAGTCCCTGTCTGTACCAGTGGAGTTGCCTTCTCTCCAGACCTCAATTTGAAGGGTGGCCAGTGGTGGCCAAGGAGCATTCTGCAAAGGTCCACGGGGAGCTCCAAATATCTGTAACCCTGTGCACAGTGCAGGGCTCCCCTGTGGAGTATGAGGGGCAGGTGTTCTGGGGGATAGCTACCGTGGCTCCCCCACTCCTATGAAGATCACACGTGGCCCCTCCATCCTGATGGGTGAACTGTGCTCACTAAGGGCTAGGTCTTGCAAGCTGTCACCAAGCATAGATGGAAGGAGGGCACTGAGGTCACCTTCCCTAAGGGGGCGGCTGCTGAGCCCAACATCAGCCTTGCAGATGTTTCTTTGGTGCCCAGAGAACAGCCCCGTGTACGCTTCTGCCAAACAGCATCAGTGAGCTGTGAAGGCCCTGATCAGCCTCACGTAAGTGGTGCCTGGATCAGACTGGGAAGGGGGAGCAGGACAGGGGCACCAGTGCAGAAACACCATTATCCACCAGCAAGGACATTCTTTCCCATTCATATATTTCTCCTTACTTTTCCACTTACTGTAAGGCATGTTTTCCTTATACCGTATTTCCCCGAAAATATGACAGGGTCTTATATTTATTTTTCCCCAAGAAGACACCCTAGGGCTTATTTCCAGGGGATGTGTTATTTTCCCCTCTAAGCCTCAGCTTGCAGCACACACAGGATGTCCGGGAACTGACAGGGGTGCTCACCTTGTTGGTGGGGCTGCCTGCACCTTTCAGGTCAACTCTGGGATAATAGCTGTCACGATGGGGCAGATGAGAAGGGCTGCTCCCCTGCTTTCCCGCTCTGGGACGAAATGCATGGGTTGTGCAGATACGCTGCATAGCCTCGCTCCTCACTAGGTCTTATTTTCCGGGTAGGGCTTATATAGCTGAAATGCTTAGAAATTCTGCTAGGGCGTATTTTATAGGTAGGTCTTATTTTCTGGGGTTATCAAGGTATTTATGAGGTTATCAACTGTATTTAACCCTGGGAGGTCGGGGATTACCTGGGCGACATTGCTGCAACTGACAACAGAGTGAGCCTTTTTATCTGCAAATGTCATCAACCCTGGCAACCACGCATGTCATCCTCTGGTCACTGACAGCTGTTTCTTATAAATGATTCAGCCACCATGTTTTGAAATGTGTACCTATCTAACCCTGTCTTCAGCTATGGAAGATCTATAGTCTTTAAAGGTCCAAAGGCTGTGAACAAGCAAAGAGGGGGAAGCTGTGAGCTGTAACACACTGTCACGAGGCAAAGCTATGAGGAAGGGCACAGAGCCCATCTCCCCAAACTTCATCAGGTGGGAACGGGTGTGGGGCCACATGGTAGCCATTCCTCCACAAGAGCTCCAGGGGACTGGTCACCTTTTGGAAGCCAAACTAGGCCATGAGGAAGTGCTGAACTAACTCCGGCCTGTCCCTACAAAGCACAAGGTCTAGGTGACTCGAAACTTGTGCCCCCAACACAGCACACGCAACAGACATCACTCTTGCTTCATTTATTCAGAGAACCATGTTGAAGTTTTTGGGGAGTGATTTCCCCCTTCAGCAAATGCAGGGGAAAAGTCTAAATCTTCGTGTGTTCTGAGGACGGGAAGGGGTGGGTGGACGACGGTGGAGTACCTGAGCCCTGGAGGGGGTGCTGGGAGGGTGCTGAGGCCCCCCGAGGAGGGCAGTTGAGGAAGTCTCCTGAGACGACAGGGAGCTGCCCTCCCACAGACAATTCTTTTGCCCCTTGCGCTTTCTTCTGGGCTTACGAAGCCACTGCCACAGTCGGAGCATTCGCTTTCTCAAGCGTGGTTGAGCTGGAGACTGTCCCTCTGCTGGCTTGGTTGGGGAAGTAGCGCTTCCAGGGGACTCCTCTAACATCTCCTCTGTGCTGCCCTGAGGAGGCTGCAGGCTCATCGGTCTGCAGTCCTCAGCTGTGTGGATCTTCTCTGGAAAGTCACGGTTCTCGCCAGAGGGTGATGGTCTTAGGTCTCCCTGTGCCCCTTTTCCCACAGGGGATGAGTCAGGGAGGGGATGATGCAGGCTGGCAGCTGATTGTGTTGTTTTGACTTTTTCTCCAGGACAAGCTTCAAAGCTTCTTGCTGCGGAATTGGAGATTCCGTGTTTTGAATTTGTTGTACCAAGACGATCTTTTGGGCCAATATTCTTGCTTAGTTCCTGATTCTTGCTGGCATCCTTCTTTAGTGGGATTTTTGAGCTGGTCTCTCGGAAGCTAGGTGGGCTGAAGAGCAAATATTGAAGGTCTTTTCTCCCATGACCGCGAATGAACGAAACCCAGTAGAGGGGACGATGGCACATGGGCATGTCGGGAGTTTCTCTGTGAGGACTTAGTAGTGACGGATACCCACGGGTGCGGCAGGTGTTGCATGAGCCCCACCCGGGTGGGAGGAGCCTTGGTTGATGGTGGAGTCTGGTTTTCTTCTGAAGCAAACTCACCCCACAGATCCAAATCGGGCATAGAGGCCCAGGTGGTGGGATGGGGAGTGGGGATAGAAATGGGGCCTGAGGCCGGACCTGGGTGAGGGTTAGTGACTGAGACTGGGGCAGGGTTTGGGGCAGGCACAGCAGTTGGTCCAGTGCCAAGAATCCTTCAGCTTTGAAGGAACTAGCAATTGTGGTAAGGAAAACAAATGTAGGGAGACAGCTGCCTCGGACAAGGACCACAGAGTGCAGGGACTCTCCACGCAGAGACAGCAGGAGCTCCAGGTGTTTTTGATGCAGGTCGTCCTCCCAGGTGTCAGGGCACAGGGGCTGCGGGCACATGTGCAGCTCTGCTGCTTTCCCTTCGCTGCTGCAGCGAGGGAGGGAACCTGCGGCGCCCTGCTGACTGGAAGCTGCTGCCAACGTGGTCCCTGAAGCACTGAGATGTTCGCCTGGCCTCAGATGGTTTAGAATAGAGCCCACGTATTGTTCCACTCCCTTCCACATCAGGAAATTCCCTCTCTTCCACACTAGTCTCTCAAAGAGAGCCAGCAGGGCAGAGTTGGGCTGGGAGAGGGAAGCAGACACGACGAGGCTGGCTGCAGGGTCTCCTGCAAATGAGGCCTCAGAAGAGTGGAGGGCGAGAAGCTGTTTCTTAAAATCACAGGGTGCCCAGTTGGAGGGGAACAAGTCCTGGGCATGAGGCTGCCACCAGAAGAATGCTGACACTGTCAGCTTTGGAGGGTCAGTACCTCTCTTTGGAGGGAAAAGAGGGGACGGTTCACGAGCGCTACCAGGAGAGAACATCTCCAGAGCAAGGTTCAGAATGGTGGGAGCCGGTTTAGGTGGAGTCACGGCTAAAGTGGTCTCTGGTGGTGGTGGAGCAGACGGGGCTGGCGGTGCGTGGTGACGCGCACGGGCGTGTGTGTGATGCGTGGCGGGGGATGAAAGGGGAAAGGGGTCGATGTCTCGGGAAAGGCGGAGGCCGAAAAACAGGATGTTCTCCCACGAGACAGTGGCCTCTGGTTTGAGAAACAGCTGTGCTCGTGGAGTGTGTCCTGGGGGACAGGGAACGGCAAGAGGCTTGGGTACGGAAGGGTGGGGCGGAGGGGCTGGAGGCAGGAGTCCTGGAGGGCTTGCTGAGGGCGAGGTGGTGCTGGAGGCGAAATGGGCCGCAGAGGGAGCAGCAGCATGCAGGGATTCCCTGGGCAGGGTTGGTTTGGCTTTTCCGGTTGTTTTGTGGCACTGCTCACAGAGGGGGTGTGGGTGTGCCGGGTGATGTAGATGGAAGATTATATCCATGTCGCCCTGTCCCAGGGGTCTGCAGAAGACAGGAGGTACAAAGCTGCAGCTAGGACCAGGACAAGGGAAGGGGAGCCTGCACGTCTAGTGGGGTGGGGCCCCCTGGAGCCTGCCGCCCCCTCCCGTGACATCACAATCCACTTGCCAGCCTACCACAAGCCCTTCCCTCACTGTCCTGTTCCCATGGCGCCCCCTCCCATGGCCTTGGCAGGGGGCTCTGAATCCCTGAAATGCACAGAACATACTTTCAACAGGGCCCTGGAGACAAGGGGTAAGATCCATCACCTTTCCATAGAAGAAAGTAGCCTCCGTCTCTCCGCGGCCTCTCTCGAGATCATTCTCCAAGCTGGGAACCAGGAGAGAAGGTGATATTTGAGGAAGGTAGAAGATTAGGATCACCCTGGGCTTGTTAAGCTCTGGCAGCCCCGAAATCAGCATGTGTGGTCAAATGGTCAACAGTAATATTAGCAAGGTTCACGTGTGTGTGTGGATTCATCTAGAAAGTGCTGTCCCACCCATTGTCCCACGTGATGCTCAAAAACACCAGGTTAAGCCCAGAAGTCAGTGGTTCCCTCAGAGCAACCCGAGCACCCAGGGAGTCAGGGCTCTTATGCAGACTCAGGGGACAGAAGTGCTGACTCCAGACCCACCGGGAGTCCTTCCTGGATGTCTCCCATGGCCACCTACTGGGGAGACCCATGGCCCCGGCCCATCCCTGCGTCATGCCCACCGGTGGGCAGAGCGGGACTCTGAGAAGTTTCTCAGGTCCCACTGCCTTCCTATGAGCCTCCCCTGAGCTCTGCTTTCCCAGACACTGTGCCCAGCACCCGACAGCCTTGAGATCATGGACCTGGGGCCCCATGGGAGGAGCAGGAGGCTCCCCTGGAGTGCTGGGGACAAGACAGAACCTTACCTCTCAGGGTCCCGCCATTCCTCCTCCTCTTCACTCTGCCCTGGTGCTGGGAACAAAAGGAAAAGATTGAGGGGCTGGGACTCGCCTCTCTTCCTCCTCTTCTCTAAGAAGCTGTTCATTCTCCAAGGATAACGTGACTATCCATTTTCATGACTAGAAATATCTTTCTTTTACCCATTTTTAAAAGTGATGAATGAATTCTAATGTTTCTTTCTTTGAGAAACTCAAAGGAGGATTTGTCTGTGAAATCCCCACTTGGTGTTCTCCCAAGTGCTGTGTTGAGGAGGACACAGGAACAGAAGACAACAGTCACTTCTGCTCCCTCAGAGCTTCCTATATCCTGGGGACAGACCGTGGACGCTCTGGACAGTGTCTCCTGCTCAGCCCAAGCAGAGGGAATGTTTGGTCAAGTGACACCTGACATGGAGAGTGAGGATCCAGTGTCAGGGTAGACTGTCCTCCTGAGAACCCGCACTGTGAGCACAGGCCAATCCAGCAGCGCGAGGTCACTGTGTTTGGGGGTTTGCGCTGTGTCCTCCACCACAGCCTGGCAGGGAGCCTGTGAGCCTGAGGTGGAAACCTTCATCCTCCCGAGCCCCTGGCCTTGCCCACCTCTTCCTCTGGAAGAGTGCCGTCCTGTCACTCTCCAACCCACCCAGACTCTGGTAGAATGTGTGGTAGGAATGGGAGCCAACAGCAAAGGATCTCTCTGGGGTGTCCCTTACCTTCTGGAAGGTTCTGTATTTCCAGGTTGGTTTAACAAGTTTTTTTATAAAAACATAGCAAATAATTATCAGAAGTAAGCCCAGAGCCCTCTGGAAGGTGAGGGTTAGGATTGTCTTCTGTAAGTTTGAGCCATGTGGCTCAGAGTCATTTATAAAATCAAGAGTGCTCTCCATCATGAGAACAGTCGGGCTGCCTGAAGCAACTGAGTGCTGAGGGGGCCCGGGCTGGCCTATAGCCTCAGGCCCGCATCACCCAGAACAGGAGAGTCACAAAGGGGTCCGAGGTGACAAGGAGAGGAGGGTGTGGGCACAGCCCCTCCCCCACCCGCCAGCCCAGCAGATCCCTGGTGCCCTAGTGGCCCTCTGGGTCCCTCTGCCCTCCCCTGCCATCCCATTCTCCAACTCCACCCTTTCCTCCTAGCACATGTTTGCCTCAGTGAGATGTTCTGTGCATTTCATCTGGAGTCTAGATATGAGCTGTGTCCCCCTTTACTTGGCAGAGCCCTTGACTTGGACCTTGAAAGTCTGCAATACAACCTGGGATCCACTTGTACCCAGACATTTGTACTCTCACGACCACTCATGTGTGTAAATCCAGAGTATCTACAGAATGGATGTTTGCCTTACCCTAACCCAGACAGAAAACCTAACATTCTTTTTTACTTACTTAGTTCTATGAATGTGGACTAGCAAACATTTTGTTTAAAGTCAGCCTTTGCTGTTACTGTTGTCAATCAGAGTACTTAAGTAATTAAAACTAATAATTCTTCAAGCTAAAATAAGTGTAAAATCAACATATATGATTAAAATATCAGGTGATTTGAGTGGGGGTAAATTTATGGCACTTATTTTTCTGAAGTTATTGTAGCTTGAATTGTTCAAAGACTTTTGGGACATGCTCTGCACACACACACACACACACACACACACACACACACACACACACACCATTTCACAAATCAGTCCAGTGTATTCAAATCCAGGAATCGATCATTTCCTCTTGTATTGCAATCTTCTATTCATTATATTGACGACAATTTTTCTGATCCTTCCTAAAATACAGATAGTCCCAGCCCTCTACATCAGCTTCACAACAGGTGTGTGACTGTGTGACTCCCTAGATCCAGGCCCAGGTCACAGTGTGATAAGCTTTGACTCCCTCAGTCCCTGGTGGCAGGTTGGGACTTGGGAGTGCCACCGCCTTAGGGCAGAATCTAATCTTGAACAGCCTCACCTGATTATCCCATGAGCCATGAGAATGTGACCTTTTATTGACAATGCCTTGGCGTGAGCATGCACACACTAACACACACACACCCACACACACACACCCTCACACGTGGTCATGCACACACACAAACACACGCGCTCAAAGTTCGAGATGATCTGCTCTATGTAGTCACCCCTGCAAATGTCCAGATAGCAACTACTATGTCACACTTAATTCAGGCTCTTCTTGTCAGGTTTAAACAGTCATCACATCCTCCAGCCCTTTTCCTACACCTGCTTTTCTAAAGTCTTTATCAGCTGACAGCTGTCCTCTGAGCTGTCTCCTAACTGCTCATGTCTGTCTTGAACTGTGCAGCCTGTCACTTGGCACGCATGGGCCAACATTGTGACTTGATCTCTTGGAGAGGAGAGAGAGCCCTCCAGCCTGGCCATGTCTCCCTTCAGTTCTGCAGGACTAGGTAGCCTGCCTTGAGGAGAAAATCTGCCAAGATGTGTTTTTCCTCCCCTCTTTGATATGCATCCTCTGTCATGTTTTCATTTAATATGTATTTACTTCCTGACGCTGGGAGTCACACATACGTTTAATTTGGGTGCTCTGTCCTTGACCTCACCATGGAGGTTTAGCATGAAGCTCTGCCTAGCTGAAGAGCTACACAACTGCAGGGAAGAGGTGTCCCCACCCCCAGCATTTGTGAATGCCCAGTGATCTCTGGGACAAATCAGATACTGTGGAGCTAACTACTCAGACACATCATGCTCCTTAGCAAAGCATTCCTGAACCTCTGCCCTCCCCAGTTTTCTGATATGAATTAGTGATTCCTTGAGAATTGGTCAAAGAACAGCTTTTTTCTTTTCAAATAGCATTCCTTAGCTAGATATCCCTGCAGGTACATGTGTGCCAAGAGCTAACACCTACAGGAAGCTTCAATAGAGACGGCTTTTCCCCAAATGCTGGTAAGATTCCTTTTCTGAACCTGGTAGAAGCTCCTTCAAAATTGAAAGGAACAAGAGATAAAGGTACAACATTTAGTTTTTTTGTATCAGCAATGATAAATTGCATTGACACTGAGTAGCAGAGCTTCGTAGCACTCAGCCTTTCTCAAGTAGCATCAACCGCAAATTATAAATTTGCTTGTGTAATTTATAAAGAGGTTTTCTTACACTGTTCTCAGTGGATTTGTACAAGCATCCTGTAGGTAAGCAGAGCAGGTATTATTGCGCCCATTTTATCAATGAATAAAACCAATTACAGCAATACCTATGCTGTACTTGTGTGCCTGCTGTTCGCAGTCATTTGTATACCTTCAGATGACCTCTTACTTCTCAGTAAAGTCCCTTTTTTGCATATTGAAGAACTCCTTTTAACATTTTTTGTATAACGGCACTGGTATTAAAGAAATCCCTCAACTTTGTGTGTCTGGGAAAGTTTTTATTTCTCCTTCATGTTTCAAGGATATATTTGCATTTTTGCAGTATATAATATTCTAGAGCTAAGGTTTTCTTTTTTTTCCTTCAACACTTTGAATATGTCACCCACTCTCTCGTGGCCTGTAAGGTTTACCATGAGAAGTCTGCAGTCAGACCTGTGGGAGCTCCTTCATAGGTTATTTTTTTCTTTTTTCTTGCTTCCCTTAGGGCCTTTTCTTTATGTGTGACCTTTTTGAGCTTGATTATTAAATGCCCTGAGGTTGTCTGATTCCACTTAAATCTGCTTGGTGAAAGAAGAGACGACACACACTGTTTCTCCTTCTTCACCTTCTGGTCACTCTTGGGCACATTTTAGTCCATTGTCCACCTCCATCAGTCTACTGAAATTATTGCTCAAGGTTCCGAATACATTCCAACTGCCAGACCCAGTGGTCTTTCTAGAAGTCATTACCTAATCAGATCTCTGCCACTCTCTTTTGAATTTTTTTTTAAATCATTCCTTCCCCATTTGGTTCATAGAAACTTGGGATCCACCTTTTGAATGCTGATGCTTTTCAAGCACCTGGACTTACCAAGAATTCTTCATCTTAGATCCATAAATCTCTGAAATTTTGTAAAATATTTAACTCGTATATGTATGTGTGTATTGTTTTTTCTAGAGGAGAGTGTTCGTCAGCTTCTTAGGGGTCAATTGCTGTTACCCAAGATACTCCTTCCAAGAGAGTCCACCAACTCTCACAGTCTCCACTGTCATCCCTCAGTGGGTGTCTTCTGTATGTTTTCCTCCAGCCCAGATCTTGCTGTCAATTATTAACTCAATTTTGCCTGGACATTGCTTTCCACATGTCACATGGGTTTCTCACCTTGGCATGTAAATGATTAAATCTATCTTTTTTTCCCCAAACAGGTCTCTTTTTTCAGTGTTCTCCATGTAAATTGTAGGTAGCTTCATCCAACCAGCATCCAAGCTAGAAACAAAAAGGTCATTCTCTCCCCTGCTTCTGAGCTTCCTCTTCTCTGCCACCACCCCCACCTCCACTGCTGCCACCATCCAAATCAGTCACAATGTCTTGCTCCTACTGCCTTTTCAGCATCTTCTCTGGGCTCTGGGCTCTTTAACTTGGTTCAACCTTTGCAGATTCCTAAACCATCTTCTAGCCCTCTGTCAAGTTCCATTCACATTCATTCCTCAGGCAGTTTCCAGGATACAAATAAAGGTAGTTATAGACACAAAGCTGTTTCATTGGCCTGTCCATAAAACAGTCATACTAATATTTGTCTCTACTTTTCTTAAAAGAAGATTTATATACATAAAGCTGCATCCTAAGTGCCCTGAGGGCACGGGCTGTGTCTTCTTCAGTCTTGAATCTTGCTTGGTTGCTGTAGTTCAGGCCTGCAATCCCAGCGCTTTGGAAGGATGAGGTGTGAGGGGTTCAAGACTAGACTAGGCAACAGAGCCAGGCCTTATCACTACAGAAAGTTTAAAATTAGCTGGGTCCAGTGGCATGCACTTGTAGTCCCAGCTACTTGGAAGGCTGAGGCAGGAGGATTGCTTGAGCCAGAAAGTTTGAGGATGCAGTGAGTTATGATCTTGCCACTACACACCACCCTGGGCGACAGACCGTGTCTCTAAAAAAAAGTTTTTTAAAAATCTTTAATTTGAAAGCTTCCCGTACTCTTTGTTATATGTTTGGTGTTTAACTAGTGAATGTATTCTTAAAGTATTTCATATTTGTGCCCACTTTTAAAAACTTTAATCATTTTGTTTTTTAGGGACAGTCTCACTCTAATGCCCAGGCTGGAGTGCAATGGCATGATTTTATCTCAGGCAGCCTCAAACTGCTGGGCTCAAGGGATCCTTCCATATTACCCTCCTGAGTGGCTGGGAGTATAGGCATGTGCCACCAGGCCTGCCTAACTTTTATTTTTTATTTTTTGTAGAGATGTAGTCTTACTATGTTGCCCACAGTGGTCTTGAACTCCTGGCATGAAGTGATCCTGCCTATTTGTCCTCTCTCAAAGTCCTGGGATTACGGGTGTGAGTTACTGCAGCCAGACTGTATCCAGTTTTAACAATAATTTTCATGGAGAAAATTTTATAATGTGACAATGCAAAACAAAGATGAACAAACCCAGCGTCTGAAGCAGTATGTGGTTCCTCTGATTTTCTTGCACTGATTCCAATCCCGCAGGCTTGGATGTGCAGTGTTGGTGCTCATCATCTTGTACCACAACCCCATCCCCGTTAGTCTGCTGGTCACTCTGGCAATTGTGAAATATATTCAGGCCCAGTTGAAAAACTGGGTGAGTATTAAAATCAGAATGTTTTTATTTATTTTTTTTCTTTGTTTTAATTTTAGCGTATTATGGGGGTACAAGTGTTAAGGTTACATACACTGTCCTTGCCCCCCTCCCCTATCGAGAAGAGCTTCAAGCGTGACCTTAGAAAATCACTCTTAAGCTATGGTTTTTGGTTTTCTTTTGTAAAGAATCAAATTAACTGAGTCTCCACGGGAGGCTGCTGCACTGCGGGGCGGCTGCACTCTGGACAGACAGGCTCAGCGCTGTCCCAGCCTGGCTCAGCAGTGGGTGCGCTTCTTGATGTTCATTCACCTCCACCGTTGTTTGTTTGTTTGTTTGTTTGTTTGTTTTTCTTTGTTTTTTTTTTTTTTGCTGATAAGATTCAAGAAACATTAGTTGAGAGCTGGTTCATAGTGTTGTGCACCTCTTCTATATCTTTGATGAGTTTTTGTTTACTTGTTCTATCAGTTATTGAGAGGGAGATTTGAAATCTGTAACTGTAATTGTGGATCTGTGTTGACCTTGACGTGCTTTTAGATTTGCTTTGCATATTTTATTTATTGACCTTGACGTGCTTTTAGATTTGCTTTGCATATTTTATTTATTTTTTATTTTTAGCTCGTGACCTTACTGCAGAGCGGTCCCCCCACCCTGCCGCGTGGAGGGTCTCGAGGGGCAACGACCGCAAAGGCCGGGCGAGGGCTGCCCGCTGAGTCACGGGGACCCCCGACCTGACGCCAGGAGGCCGAGGGCTGGGGCGCAGCGAGGTCGCCGGACACCCCGCACCCCGCCCCTCCCAGCAGCCACGGGCGGAGGAGAGAGAGGCGCCGCGGGCAGAGCGGGAAGAGCCGCCGTCAGCTGGGCAGGGCTGGTCCCTCGCCTGGCGCGAGGTCAACGCCCGGAGAGCGCGACGTCACCGCGTCCGTCTGTGTCCCGGGTTATAAACCTCTCTTATTAGGTACGTGGAGATTTAGGGTTGTTTTTCCTATTGATTTATTGGCCTGTTTGTCATTGTGAAATGATTTTTTTCATCCTTGTTAATATTCTTTACTATGAAATCTATGTCGTCTGACACAGACAGGTAAGTTTTCTCTTGATTAGTGGCGGTATGGCATATTTTTTCCTTTCTTTTAACCAATTTGTGTCTATATCTTTAAATGGTGTTTCTTCTAGGAAGCATTTGGTGGCTCCTGTGGTTGTGATTCGTTCTGAAAACCTCTGCTGTTCAACTGGGGTGTTTAGATCACGTACATGGTGATGTTATTGCTATGGCTGGGTTTAAATACATGATTTTGCCATTTACTTTCCGTTTGTTCCATCTTTTCTTTTTCCCTTATTCCTTTTTTTCCCCATCCTTCTTTGGATTACTTTTTTTATTCCTTCAAAAAGTATTTTAGTAGTTTATATAAGTGTTTTTAATTTATTACCTTCTACCTTCAAATGATGTTATTCTATTTCACATATAGTATAAAAACCTTACAAAAGTATAACTCCATTTTTCTCCTCAAAATCTTTGTGCTATTGTGATTATACATTTTAATTTTAGAAGCATACCTCATGCTCTGTTGTTATTAATTTTATTTAAACTGTCAATTGTGTTTTAAAAAGAATTAAATAACAGAAGATTTGTACATATGCTCATGTCATAACCATTTCCAGTGCACCTTAGATCCGTCATTCCATTAGGTACCATTTTCCTTCTAATTGAAGGGCTCTCTTTACCATATCTTACAGTGTGGATTTGTTGAAAATAAATTGTTTTCCAGATTGTTTATGTCTGAAAAAAAATCCTCATTTCATTTTTGGTTTTTTCATCCTTTATTTTGCAATCAACTTTGCCTTAGTCTGTTATTCTAGGTTGATGTGTTTTTCTTTTGGTACTTTAAAGATGTTGCTCCACTGGCTTCTCACTTGCATTGTTTCACTGAGAAATTTGCTGTCATCCTTATATTTATTCTTCTGTATGGAACATATCATTTTTTTCTCCTCTGGCTTCTTCTTTCTCCCCCATCCCCTCACTCTGTCACCCTGCCTAGAGTGCAGTGGTGTCATCCTAGCTCACAGCAAGCTCAAATTTCAAGGTCAAGTAATCCTTCTGCCTAAGCCTCCTGAAAACAGGGACTACAGGCTCTACCACTCCCAGCTGATTTTTCTATGTTTTGTAGTTATGGAGTCTTTCTTCTGCTCAGGCTGATCTCAAAGTCCTGACCCCAAGCAGTCCTCCCTCCTTGATCTGCCAGGGTGCTAGGATTATAGATGTGTGCCACAATGCCTGGCCTCTCTCTGGCTTCCTTGAAGATTTTCTTTTTATCACCTCTGAGAAATTTGATTATGATGTGCTTTAGTATAGTTTTGCACTTGTTAATAGTAGGTTTATAATGCTTTTTCTACTACTTACACCTCATGCCTCCTAGGTCATTTACTTTTCTCCTTTTCTTTTTTAATTTTAATTGGATTCATTGCTTGCCTGCAGAATGTCAGGAAAGTAAGATTCTGACTCAGTTGACACTTACTCAGGATAGGCAGGCTGATCAGATGGGCCTACCCAGAATCTCTTTTGTCTGTGGGTTTAGAGTCCTCACCAAATTGGAAAGTTTGGGCCATTATTTCTTCAAATATTTTTCCTTTCTTCTTCTCCTCTGGGAACTCAAATTAGTCATATATTAGACCATATGAAGTTGTCCCACAGCTCGCTGATGTTATTTTCCTGAAGATCTTTTTTCTCTTTACATCTGATTTTGGGACATTTCTATTGTTATGTCTTCAAGTTCTAAAATAATTTCTACTGCAATGTGTAACCTTTTATTAGTCCCACCCAATATGTTGTTAGAATATCAGACATTGTGAATTTCATATCTAGAAGTTCAGTATGAATCTTTTTAATATTGTCTATATTTCTACTTAATGTTTTCAAAATACAGAATATAGTTAAAAGAACCTTTCACTAACTGGTTTGTTTATTTTGATATCTGTATCATGTTTGCATCAATTTTCATTAATTGAATTCTCTCTCAATTTGGTGACATTTTCCTATTTTTTTGCATGTCTTATAATTTTTGATTGAATATTATACATTTTTAGTTTTGTCTTGTTGGGTGCTAGAATGTTAAAAACTTTTTACTTTGAGATAATTGTAAATTTTGCTGCAAGCAATGTAATTGTAAGAAAGAATGTAGAGAAACCTCAAATACACTTCACTCAGTTTCCCCCAATACTAACATTTTGTATAACTCGGGTGCAATGGCATAAACAGGAAACTGACATTGATATAAGCCACCAATCTTATTCTGATTTCAGATCATATGCACTCATTTCTGTAGTTGTATGTGTGAATTTTGTTTTATGTAATTCTTAAAGGTGGTAAAATACTTTACATAAAATGTATCATCCTAACCATTTTTAAAAGTAAAATTTAGTAGTGTTAAGTTCATTCACATTGTTGTGCAACCAATCTGTTTTATGCAATTTTACTCTATCTGTAGATTCGTGTGACCAGCAACACCATCGAGTATTGGATCTTCTTGTATTCATATAAATTATTTTGAACTTTGTTTTAGAACATGTTTAAGTTACTTGGAACAGATGCATTCAAACCTGGTTTTAAGATTCGTTCACTGTATCTGTAGCACTGCTCAATTAGGACAAACTATTTTCAACTAGTAAGTAAAGATGTTTCCAAGTCCTCTACTCAGTGGTTCATAAATGATGAGTTTTTCCAGTTTGGCTGGTGGGAATAGGCATTGTATATCTGTCTCTATGTGAGCCTTGGGGACCGCTACCCCTAATTGCTTCTAGTGGTTCTTTCTTTGGAATGTGACACTGTCTTTATATGCATTAATCAGCACTCAGCTTGATATTTGAGGGGTTCTGCTGATATTTGCAGTTTTCTCTTTCTGCAGCTTTTTCTCTTTGGCACTCTGCCCTATAAACTCTCGTTTTCTGATCTTACTAGGATCTCAACTCCATTTGCTCAACTGAAAATGTCCAGTGGGCTTCATTCTGCATTCCTTCTCCCTGCACCTTGGCCTGGAAACTCTCTCAAAACAATGAGCTGGGCAATCACTGGGCTCACCTTCTTCGTTGCCTGTCTCTCAGGCATCACTGTCCTTTATTGCCTGATGCTCAGTAGCTTCAAAACCATTGTTTCATATGTATAGATCCTGTCCCTTACCCTTTAGTTTCTACATTTACGTGTTTTACTCTCCCTTATTTAATAGACTTTTGGTTGTGAAACTCAAGACACTTTGGGCTCACCAATCCATTTTATAAATGCTTTGGTATGTGGCGAGCATTTTGGGGGCGAAGGGATTACCTCTAACCCTTTTTAGGGAGAGGCAAAGATATACATTGTAACCAAAATGTCTAAAAAAACTGTTATTAGGGGAGTAGGTAGGTGGAACGGGGTGGAGGGGAAGGGTGTGCTTACATAATGTGTGCAGTGCACACCACCGGGGGGTTGGACTCCCTTGAAACTCTGGCATAGCAGGGTGGGAGAGGGGTGTCAGGGGCAATATATGTAACCCTAACAATATTTGTACCCCCATAATATCAGGAAATAAAAGGAACAAAAAGCTTTGGTCAACAGTGTGACCTTCATCAAAATTATTGTAGGAAAGTTGAAGGAGGGAGATTATATAGTTTATATCTCAGCCTCTCATTTCCAACAGCAAAGCACTTAAAAAAATCCATAATCAAAATTTTGGCAGCATGCCTCTACCATCATGCTTAGCCCACCGTTTCTCTTTCTGCTCCTCCATGGAGATGGAAGAAATCAGGCTCTTCCAATCTGCACCCTTCTGTCTGCATAGTCAAGCTCATCTCAGGCTCGGCCCAACAGATGTCCAGGAAATGTAACCCATGCTCCTTAGAGGGCACGGCAGGCATTATTTGACACTGGCTCAGCCCACCGATGTCTCATGGCCTCCAGTCTCAGCTCTGCCCTCACCAGAGAAAGCATCACATTAAAGTGTTTCCTCCAGTCATTTATAGTCCTCCCTGTACTAGCAAGTTGGTAAATAAAAGATTCACGGTTTTGTTACAGATTTATAACGGTATATTTTCTATTTGATACTGGTTTTTATTTTAACATGCAAGGAATCAAAATACGTTTTTTTCCATAATCTCAGAAGAGTACAGGAAGGTACTTTGAATTGTTAAACTGTACCTGAAATATGTAGCAAGAAATTCAAGTTAATGTTTTCTCTCTTCACTTTGTTCTCGACCAATAGTGTTTCTGATCTTGGAGTATCTGCTGAATAGAGATCCACTTGGGCTATGACCGCCTAACTGCTTCTTTAGGGCTAGAAAGCTGGCTTGCCTTTGAATTACCTAGGATGTGGCATTATTTCTGGTAGGTGTCATGTTTAATAGATTTCGTTTTTTATTTCTCTGATAAATTTGAGAATATGTAAAGCAGTGGAATGTCTCATTACTCTCCCTGCTTTGTTGTCTTCTCCAACATGTTTTCTTTGCAGTGATCAGACTTAGTTTTCTTTGAAGCAACTCGACCAATTCACACTTTAAAGCTTATTTCGAAATCGTACAGGACTTGTGCTTTCACTGTGGCTGCTCAAACTCATTCACACCTATTAGATCTAACAATACAATTATAAAGCAGTATTTAGAATTCTTCCTGGAAGGCTTATCTAAGATTTTAATGAAATGGAAGTTTTGTATAGGATACAGTGATTTATAAAAGACTTTCCGAATATTCTCTGTTTGTGAAGGAAACATTAACCCATCTAGAATATTTTCCAGAGATGATAAGTAAAAATTGTTTGGAATCTCATTCCCTTTAGAAAAGCTGTTGTTGAATGTTGAAATTACAACCTGAATATATGCCAGTGATGCTTGTTGGGCACACAGGTGGACAAGGGTAACGTATGTGTGACTTTGCAATGCCTTTTGTTTGCTTATATGTACATGGTTTCCCAAAGAAACCCTGGGGAGACATTATTATTCCATTATTTTCCTTTCTATCCCCTCTTTAGAAGTTTAGTTTATAAGCTGATGCTTCACACAGACACGTCTCCAACGTTAAAGTATGGGTGTTTTGTAAGGTTCTACGTTGGGCCTTTTATTGCTGTCTTAACATAGAGATATATTGTAGGCAGGCTGCAGTAGGTAGAAACACATAGGAGCTATATTATCATTGAACACAAAAAAGAACAACTTATGTATCTCTTATGTGGAGAGTTAATTTCTAGGAATACCACAAACCTTGGATATTTTGCAGGAATTAGCCTAAAATATTGGAGTATAGTATGGATTTAACATTTTTAACGTCCTTGAAAAAGAGACTTTAAATGAATTCTCTGTTGTTTTTGACATTATTTGATACGCGACTGAAAAATTGAACCCTTGTTCATTCTTTTATTCACTTAACAAATTGTTGTTGAGCATCTACTAAGTGCCATCCACTGTTCATAGCCTCTGGAACAGTAGTGAGTAAAACACAGGAAGCTCCAGCCCTGAAGGAATTTACCAATAAGTAGGTACTGTCAGGTGGCGCTATGTGCTGGGAATAAAAATACAGCCGGGTAAGGGAGCAGGGAGTGATTCTATGCTCTTTCTACAGGGTAACTTAGGCAGAGGCTGCAAGAAGGAAGATGGAACTGTGTCACTTTCCAGGGGAAAGTTTTCCAGGTAAAGGTTAGGGAAAGTGCAAGAATCTGGAACTAAGGGGACCAGCTAGGATGCCATAGTAAGTAATGAGAAGCAGGGAAGAGAGAGCAGGGGGACAGAGGTAGACTGGATAGGGCCATGTGAAGAACTTCACGTTTCTGTGAGTTTTAAATGCTCTTGAATTTTATTTTTAAAAGTTCCACTTCTCCCTGATCACTGGTCTAAGCTCTACTATGACCAAGCTCTACTATGTTCTTTCTTGCAGTTCTGAGAACTTTCTGTGTTGCTTATAGAGATTTAACTGAGAAGGAATATAAACAATGGTTACAGAAGTTATACTAGTTAAAAAAGCTAGTATAGGTTTACACAACAGAATTCAAAGAATGGAAGAATGTTAAGATAGTATTGAAAAGGTGATAGTGCCCACATGTCCTCTACATGCCAAGATAAATATGTGAAGGAAATCCACTTATTAATGTTTTTGTATCTTTTTTTTTTTTTTTTTTTTGAGACAGAGTCTCGCTTTGTTGTCCAGGCTAGAATGAGTGCCGAGGCGTCAGCCTAGCTCACAGCAACCTCACACTCCTGGGCTCGAGCGATCCTTCTGCCTCAGCCTCCCGAGTAGCTGGGACTACAGGCATGCGCCACCATGCCCGGCTAATTTTTTATATACATATCAGTTGGCCAATTAATTTCTTTCTATTTATAGTAGAGACGGGGTCTCACTCTTGCTCAGGCTGGTTTTGAACTCCTGACCTTGAGCAATCCGCCCGCCTCGGCCTCCCAGAGAGCTAGGATTACAGGCGTGAGCCACCGCGCCCGGCCAATGTTTTTGTATCTTAATGTAATTATTAAAACCATGAAATTTTGTTTTTTTCCTTCAAATATATAAATGAGTTCTATCACACTGAAAATTCATAAAATATCTTTATGAAATATTTCAAAATATTTTTTCTTCTGAATCATATTGTACTCACTTCCTTCTTGTAGTCTTTCTTAAACTTTTCCATTTCAAAAGAAATACACATTCATATAGAAAAACAAGGTGGAATAATGAATAGAATAATAATGAAAGAATAATACAATAATAATGAGTAATAATAATGAGTTGAATAGAATAATGACCATCTGTATTGTTGGGCTAATATCTTCTTCACTTCTACCATATAAGTTTCCAGTCTGTTCTCTTTCTTTGTATATTTGTGTTACATATGTAATACTCCATTGTATATATTTAACACACTAATTTTTACAATTAAAATTAGCATGTGCTGTGTAGACTGCTTCACTTATACATTTTTCACTTAATAAATTGAGAATTTTTTCATATTATGGAATATTCTTTTTTTCATTTTTTAATTAATTTATTTTTTATTTCAGCATATTATGGGGGTACAAATGTTTAGGATACGTATATTGCCATTGCCCCACCTGCGTCAGAGCTTCAAGCATGTCCATACCACAGATGGTGCGCACTGTACCCAGTGGGTATGTATATACCAATCCACTCCTCTCCCTTCCCATCTGCCTGACAGCCAATGATTATTATTACTATATGTGCACTTAATTGTTGATCAGTTAAAACCAATTTTATGCTGAGTATATGTGGTGCTTGTTTTTCTACTCTTCAGATACTTCACTTAGTAGAATGAGTTCCAGCTCTGTCCAGGATAATACAAGAGGTGCTATATCACCATTGGTTTGGGGGCTGAATAAAACTCCAAGGTATACATATACCACATTTTATTAATCCACTCAGGTATTGATGGGCACTTGGGTAGTTTCTATATCTTTGCAATTGTGAATTGTGTTGCTGTAAACATCTAGTGCAGATGTCTTTTGTTCATTTGGGGAGATGTCCATTAATGAGATTGCTGTATCAAACTGTAGTTCTACTTGTAGCTCTTTGAGGTATCTCCATATTGCTTTCCACAGAGGTTATCCTAGTTTGCAATCCCACCAGCAGTGTATGAGGGTTCCTGTCTCTGCAAACATGCCAACACTTATTGTTCTAGGACTTTTTGGTAAAAGCTATTCTCACAGGAGATAAGTGATATCTCATTGTGGCTTTGGTTTGCATTTCCCTGATGATTAGAGATATTGAGCTTTTTTCATATGTTTGTTAGCCATTAGCCTATCTTCTTTTGGAAAGTTTCTGTTCATGTCCTTTGCTCACTTTTTGATAGGGTTGTTTGATTTTTTCTTGCTGATTTTCCTGAGTTCTATATAGATTCTAGTTATCAGCCTTTTATTGGATGTGTAACATATAATATTTTCTCCCGTTCTGTAGGTTGTCTATTTGCTTTCATGATAGTTCCTTTGGCTGTGCAGGAGCTTTTCATTTGATCAGGACCCATTTGTTTATTTTTGTTGTTGCTGTGATTGCCTTTGGGGTCTTCTTCATAAATTTTTGGCGTAGGCCAATGTCTATAAGAGTTTTTCCAACATTTTCTTCTAGAATTCTTAGTTTCACACCTTAGGTTTAAGTCTGTTATCCACCGTGAGCTGATTTTTGTGAGAGGTGAAAGGTGTGGATCCTGTTTCAGTCTTCTACATGTGGCTATCCAATTTTCCCAGCACCATTTATTAAATAAGGATTCTTTTCTCCAGTGTATGTTTTTGTCTGCTTTTTTCAAAGATTAGATGGCTATATGAGGATGGTTTTATATCTGGGTTCTCAGTTCTGTTCCATTGGTCTATGTCTCTGTGTTTGTGCCAATCCCATGCTGATTTAGTTACTATAGCCATGTAGTAAGCTTGAAGTCTGGTAAATTGAAGCCTCCCAATTTGCTCTTCTTAACTCTTATCTTTGTGAACCTAAATAACAGAGGAAAACTTTCTAAAAGAAAGTGATATGTATTGAGAAATAGGCCTCTGCAAAGAAAATAAATGTGCCATAGTGGACTATGTGTGGACTATTCAGGTAGGCAAGGCAAATATTGTTAAAGAAAAAACAATGAGGAAGATTATATAATGATTCTGAGATAATTATTATTGGTTACAAGGATCAATAATAAGGGTGATGCCAGTCTGAGATTGTACAGGCACTGGGTGGGCAGAGGCTCTTAAAGAAGTATTTTTTATGTAAGGTTTAGATGGCATTTCTGCAAGGTTGTAGTTTTTTGTGGAGTCTCTTGTTATAGTTTTAATGAGGTATTTATGCATGAGAACCATACCTGTATAGCCTTTCCTGGCATTATTCGTCAGGGTCCTTTATTAAAACACAGTGAATCCATTTTGATTGTGACAATTCTCGTATTTCCTCCTTTTGATCAAGATCTTTCTCCATCACTGATGACTCAACTTACAGTTGAGTTTTTATGTCTGTTGGTGCCAGGATGGACCTGCCCCGGTTGCTGGTCCGATCCCACATGGGAGGAAATAAATAGCAGCTGGGAGTCAGTGCCAAAACCTTTTTAACCAAATTTGAGTAACAAGAGAGGTTTTAAGGAAGTGGCTCTCAGGCTCAGTCTACCTGGAGTCCATTATAAAGGTCAATTTTGTCTGTCTGGTAGGTGGTGGTTATCATCTCAAAGAGATGGGCCACTATTATTCTATTGGGAGTTGTACTTCTGCAACAATTTAACAAGTAACAGATATAAAATTTAAAAGGGGAAATATAAAGTAAAATTAATAGTAATATAATAAATCTAGTTTGTATAATAGTTTTCTGCCCTGAACAGAGGCTTAAAGGTAACCAATCTATTGAATACATCAAATGACAATTATCCCATCAAGTGAAAAAAAAAAAATGTAGCGACTAAGAGGAGTCTCCTTAGGATATGAAGTCTTGTTCTGACATCTTGGGAAAATCGTATACAGAGAGAAAACGGCCTCTGATTTTGGTTTGCAGTTTGAATGTCTCTGATTATGGCATCAGGCAATTCACTGCACTTTTTGTGTGGCCCAGACATCAGACATGAGACTTACTCTTTCAAAATTGTCTAGTTGTAGCTTATAGGGCTTTTTAGGAACAGAGTGTTTTCTGTTTTTGGTAAATCCATGGAAGTAAATTATATTGGAAAAATTCAGGATCTAGTATAACCTATCAGTAGAGAACAAGAATTTGAAAACAATGCACAGAGCTATAATTTAATAACAAGCATAACATTTCTTTGGAAACACAATTTTTTTGCTCTCTACATTGATCACATAGGAACCACAGATTTAAAAATATCTTGAGGCTAGGAAGCCAAACCAAGACAGATTTTAGATATTATCTATAGTCTTAAAGTTCCTGGGCCTACCAGGAAATCACCATTTCTACTCACCCATCGTAGGCTGGGGAATGTTGAAATCAAGCATTCTGTGCACACTGTCAAATATGACATTCCAGTCCAAGCCCTGGTAATACAATCAATTATTTTAATTGTATCTTATTATGAAGACAGGGCCTATTTTTATTGAACTCATGCAAATGGCCACATTGCCATAAATAAGAAGAATACTCATGAATAGCTTTTGAATTTTGAAGGGATTCATTAGGGAAAAAAAGCAAATGCTTCCACTCCTGTCCAAAAAGGTATACTTACCAAAGTGCTCTAAATTATAGATTATTTAGGTGAAAAAAATCCCCTCAAATCTTGAAAATAAAAGATTTAAGTAAAGAAGCGATAATATTTCAAATAAAATTATAAAAATGATTTTCATTAGTTCATCTCATGTAATTGAAATTTATTCTGCTTCATCTTGATTCATGGTTTCATGAATTCATCAGTTTCTTTATTAAATTTTTGAAAAGATTTTATTTATTCCATTAATGTAAAGTTATTAGAAATCTGCATTTAAGAGTACTTGTTAGTGTTTTGCATGAATCTGATTGAGGTGCCTTTAGAGAAACAGCAAAACTATGAATGACAGAGACTTAGAATAACCAAGGTTAAAAGTCTGCTGGAAGTTCCATATGATCAGCAATTGACAAGGAAATGTGGTGATTTTTGTGACATACAAATAATAAGCAGAATTATGACTGATGCCATATTAGATTTCTAAGAGTTTTATATAATTTTAGAACATTAGTATCAGTAACATACACATAAATTTAAATGAAAGAAGACCTAGTATCATTGATCATTTACCAATGTCTCCCTTCTAATTTACCAAATCAACTTATTTATGTCAAATCTGCCCTTGCTTGGTGTGAGCGAACAGAAGGGACATCACTTATTGATCCCGATCAAATTTAATGACATTTAATTACTTGTGTTCTTTTGTCATCTTTCTTTTGCCCAGTGACCCTAACAGCCATTATAATGAACTTGATTTGTACATTTTTTATGTCCTACTGATTGCTCACTTTTACCATGATAGCCCTTAACATATTACTCATGGTTATTTCGAATTTCTCATCTGATAATTCCAAAGTCTTTGCTATACTTGAGTCTGTTTCTGAAGTTTGCTTTGTCCCTTTAGACTGTGACTGTTGCCTTTTAATTTTTTTATGAAAGCCAGGCAGGATATATGAGGGAAAGCAATGAGGTAAATAGACCTTTACTGTGATATTTGATGCTTATCTGGCTAGAAATTAGGCTGTGTTAACTGTTTGCAGTAGCTCTGGTGTCAGAGGTTAAAATTTTAGCTAGTGTCTTTCTTTTGTCTTGTCCATTGTCTTGGAGTTTCCCAGGAAACTGTTTCCTTCCTAAACAGTGTCTGAGACTTGTGCTTCTTTCATCTGAAATCCCTTTTTTGTTTTTAAATTTTTTATTTCAATATATTAAGGGGGAATAAATGTTTTTGGTTATATGGATAGCTTTTTTTCATTAATTTTTTTTTACATATGATTGATTGATTTTATTTCAGCATATTAGGGGGTACAAATGTTTAGGTTACATATATTGCCCTTGCCTTCCCCCCAAGTCAGAGCTTCAAGCATGCCCATCCTCCACACAGTGCACATCGCACTCATTATGTATGTATATATCCTTCCCCTCCTCCCCAGTCTCATCTGCCGGACACCTGTTGAATGTTATTCCTATATTTGCCCTTAAGTGTTGATCAGTTAAAACCGATTTGATGGTGAGTATATGTGGTGCTTATTTTTCCATTTTTGGCATACTTCACTTAGTAGAATGGGTTGCAGCTCCATCCAGGGAAATACAAGAGGTGCTAGATCACCATTGTTTCTTATAGCTGAATAGCATTCCATGGTATACATATACCACATTTTATTAATCCACTCATGTATTGATGGGCACTTGGGTAGTTTCCACATCTTTGCATTTGTGAATTGTGCTGCTATAAACATTCAAGTGCAGGTGTCATTTTTATAGAATGTCTTTTGTTCTTTGGGGTAGATCCCAGTAATGATTGCTGGATCAATAGGTAGATGTACTTGTAGCTCTTTGAGGTATCTCCATATTGCTTTCCACACAGGGTGCACTAGTTTGCAGTCCCAACAGCAGTGTATGAGTGTACC